GACCCCTTATATGCACAAAAAAAGGTAGTGGGTCGACCTGTCCATCATTCATAACTAATAACTTACTAGACGTGTGAAGTAGTATGAATGTACTAAACTTAACTAGAATAATAGAAGAACTTTGATCCAGTGTTATGCTTCTGGAAACTAAGTAATAACAGAAACACACACACACAGGGCATGGAGTGTTTATTAAGCCCCTCACCTCCATCTGGATGTTGAAGACGCCTCTCTTCTCCTCAATCTTCTCCTTGATAGCAGCCATGGCCTGGTTGAGGACGGACAGACCCTCTGTGCGCTCCAGAGTGGTCGTCGTCATCACGTAGCGAGGGGGGGCGATCAGGTTGATCTGCCAAGAACAAGAAGATGTTTGTTTTATTCAAGCAGCAGGTCTCAACCGGTAATTCCTTTCAGTGGAAACAGCAAACAGAAAGAGTGCAGTGTCAGTGAAGGACGAGGGAAAGAGGCGATTTTACCTTGATGGGCATGACCTCTGTGGAGCAGCCAAGTCCCGCCCTCAGAGCTGCCTTCACTGCATCAATGCCCTCATAGCCATAGCACGCCACTTCAATATCTGCATGTGGGGGAGAAGAAAAGATGACTGAGTTATGGTTGTAGGTCTTCACCATTTGACTTAGTCCTAAGTCCAACTAAGAGTCTTTAAGGATGCAGTAAGATAAACTAAAGGTTAAATGTTGGATTTAGGTGCTGCTAGAAAACAATTACTAGAGCATGGTACAAAGCGGATCCACCTACGAAGGAGCAATGGCTGGGAGTAGTACAGGAAATATTTGATATGGAAAGATTCAGATTGAGGGTCCAGGAAGGGACATTTGAGTCCAAATGGGAAAAATGGGTTGAATATAAAAGAAAAATGAACGACACCACAAATTGAGAGTTGGAACCAGACCAGGATGTTGCATTACAAATAAGGTAGAAAGCTTCCATGTCACTGTTTGCTTGTTTTTATTATTATGGTCTTCTTTTTTCAATGGGTCTTTAATTCAATTGTATACTGAACTATATGTGGTTTTGTACATTTATAAAAACGTCAATAAAAATGTAAGTGAAAAAAAAAAAAAAATGTTGCATGTAGAGCAGAGTCCTGCATCGGGTCGGGTACCGACGGGTGGTATTTAAAAAAAAAAAAAAATCCGGGTTCGGTTCTGGGTAAAACAAAGAAGATGCGGGTCGGGTCGGGTCGCGGGTGTTGCATAATGAATATATTAAAATAATAATAATTTCATTTAATGTTTAAATCCTCAGACCTCTCCCCCGCGGGACCGCGCATAATCCTAACCTCTGCAGCGCATCAATCTGCTGCTGAGCGCGCCACATTCGAAATGGCTGAGGTGAAGCTCTCTAGCGGAGGATACAGCATTGTAAATAACTCTTCCTCAAGAGCGAAATCCTGGGGGGGCTTTTGGTGTCCTCCTAGATGGAGAAAATAACTAACATCCCACGCTTTTTGAGCCAAATACACAACTGCGCGTGTTAATAATTGCATGTTTTCACTGCTCATAGGTTCGAGTCAGTTTGCGGATCTTGTGCCGACGGGTCGGGTTGGTTTGCGGAACTAATTGTCAATATGTGCGGGTGGCGGGGCGGGGCGGGTTCGATATTGCACGTCGCGGGTGCGGGTCTTGAAAATCAGACCCGTGCAGGACTCTGATGTAGAGCGTGTTGTTACCTGCTCTGATTTTGACCGCCTGTGGAGTGAGTCGCCTGTTGATGTTGTCGATCAGCACAGCCTTCTCTTCCTCTGATAACTCCAGGCAATCCAGAATGGCAGGATCTCTAGTGGAGGGAAGATATTCAACATTAGATTTGAGATCTTCAAATCATTTGTAAACCCTGTAAATATGAAGCACTTACGCTACAGCCTGTTTGAAGACATCGTACGCTCCGTATCCTGGCCTCTTGTATTTCTCGTCGAACACCCAGGCGGTGCGCTGGTAGAAACTCTCTAGCTGCTCGTCCTTAGTGTACTCCAGAACCTCCGCCACGTGCCGCAGGATGCTGTACACCTGCAGACAAAACAAGTCAGCTCAGATACTGAGTCAAAGGACAGATGGATAAAAACATCAGAGAGTTCATAAGAGATTGGTGAAAATAAAATAAACGAGGGTAGTGTTTTTGGCATGCTTGTATGTAGGAACAAATCACTTTTTTTACATTGTTGAAATGCACACTGGGAATCATTTCAGAAATGGATTATAAACAGAGAAAGTGCTTGGGTACAATTCTACTTACAGTTTTAGATTTGGTGAACTTATCCTCACACTTGACGGCCTCCTCGGGTGAAACTCTTCTTTTTGATAAATCAATGTATCCTAAAGGCAACGCAGAGGAGAGATACAGTGTCAGTTTGGTCATGGTATGATTCATTCAGAATATTCTCACAGGACTGAGTCTGAACAGAAACCAGTCCAGAAGAGACACCGGTCAACGTGCTAATAATCAATACAAAGAAGAAATCAAATGTACGGATGACTCAATCAACACTTTCTGGTTTTGTACGCAGTATGATTTTGGCTTTCTCAATTGCTCCATTACTACAAATGAAATACTTGTATACAATCAGACTAAGTAATAACTTGTTTTCACTGACATTTAAGAGAATCCTTCTTCTGTTAAATTGAAGAAAACATAACAAAAAAACACGATGGACTGTTTATAATGATTGATATTATAATAACTTGCAGTCCTAGACAATATTTAAACCACACCGTCATACTACATATATACACTCAAGTGTCACTGTATATTACTACTAATATACCGCGACAATGCAAGGTTAAGAAGAGATTTGCAGAACAGAGGGAAAAGCTCAACTATATTTCCAATGTATCTGTTTATCATATGTGTAATGGTCCATCAACAACTTTGGCCGAAACTGTTCCTGTCCTTTGTGGAGCCCTTCATGAAAGCCCAGATCCAAAACTTGACCAATGACCTTCACCTGTAGTGGTCAGTACCCTCCCGCCTGCTCTTACCCTTTTCTTTGTCTACTCGGATGACGACCACACACTCATTGCGGCCTATGCGGATGAGCTTGTTGATGGAGCGGATACGTCGACGGGACAACTCGCTCAGCAGGATCATGCCCTCGATGTTGTTGTACTCCAACAGGCTGACGTAGGCTCCCATCTCAGCGATGGACCTCACGTTCACCATCACCACATCCTCCACCTCTGGGAACCGGTGCTGGTAAAATCGACAGCTGAGCCCCGGCATCGCTGGGAGAGAAGAAACAAAGACAACAGGGTGTAAAGTATTTGAAACAGACATTGTGATGAAGTCCAACTACATGGATATGGCACCACATTTTGATTTCATGATACATACGTAACATTCATCTGTTTGCAACTCATATATATATATATATCAATATTCCAATTACTGTATATAGACTATTCTGCACAGTTTCTATCATATACTGTTTCTATTATATTCTATTTTATTTACTTGTACTATTTTATCTGTTTTATTGTGTTGCACTGTTGGAGGAGCCTGTGACCTAAGCTTTTCATTGTCATAATTACACTGTAGCACACATGACAATAAAAGCCTTGCAACCTTGAAACTTGATATAACTCAGATGTATAAAGTAGACAAACTCTAAAGTTTGAGAAAACTGTTGATGCTTAAGTTAACATGTATTACACTTGATTGTAATTCAAATTTTTAAACAAGAGAAAGCAGAAAATGAGATGTGGGCTATACATCTGGAGGATATATAAAAACATGCACATTGCATAAAAGTATTGTACATCTAAAATTGAAACTAAAAGTCAGGATCTGTTGCTTCAGTTTTGGCCAGAACATTTGACCTAACCATATAGCGGAGCAATACTAAAATGTTTCAGCATATACTTTCCCCCAAAATGCTCTTTAATACAGTCCAGTTTAATTTGTTAATTTGATGATAACATCTAAAGCCATGGATCCCCAGGATGTACAACATAACGGTGTGGTACCACTGATCAACAGGCAATGAAAAACAAAGGACACAATAACAGCAGTCATGGCGATGTGTTTTCACTGGGAGAGGTCGATATATTCTCTGGTTCATCATAGATGGTGAGCATATAACGAAAACCACATTGGCTTGAATGTCAAATGTTGAATGCAAGAATTCTCGTGCATCCACTATTATTAAATAATTAGCTACCTCACAACTCGTAGGGAAATGCCGTTTATAAAGATCTTTCAAACACCCGGGTGATAAACCATACAGGACATCTATAGGTGGACAACAGATCAGAAATAGAACCACCCTTTGAATATTTACTGAAAAGTCCAAAGCAGTCTGAATGACACATTGTTCACATTGTTAACGTTTTAAACACTTTAAAACAGATCAAATAGCCAAGTTTGCCCTGAAATCATCCCTTAAATAACTACCGGGATCTGTACTAGTATTCAATGAACTGGCAGCGTAGCAACAAGATGTTTTATTTCACATTCTTGTTAGTGAATGGGATGATGCAATGCAGATAAAGCCCTTTACTGTTTGAGTTAAGAGCGAAAAGCTGACATAAACAAAAAAACAAGACAGAAAATCATGGTAGCATGTTAACAGCCACAGTAGATAGTAACTGTTGTGATGTAAAATATCAAAAGACGAAAATGCAATGACTTTTCTATCCGTTAGCTTCATAGCTAACAGCCCGGTTCACATGCGGCACATGTACTGATATTAGCACTTAGCATTTAGCACCTCCATCTGCTCAACTCTCCCGTTAAAAATAAAGCTTTATCATAAAATACTCACCGGCGTCTTATGTTTACGGAACAATACAGTTGAATGTTCTGTTCTGGATGTGTCTTAATGCCCGATTATATTTCCTTTTAGGGTGATTTTAATGAACAATTCGGGCCCGTTAGCTCACATTCATGGGTGTGCTAATTTCTCGACCCGGAAAAGATCGTCACATCATTCTACAAGCGCATGCGCAGAAAGCATTCGGTTCAGTCACATGACCAGAGGCCAGCTGATCATCACGCAGAGTCGGACAAGATCACGACCATCAGGCTTCTAATCCTGCACGAAAAACAACGGGTTTTCTGTATTATATGTATGGTTTAATAACGTGGAACAATACATAACGTTTCGGCGGGAATCTAACGAAACGGAAGGTTACAAACGTTAGCTATCATCGACCAAAGGACGAGAAGATGTCTGGAAAAGAAAGGCTCGACGTTTTCCCCTCCAGAATGTAAGCAGCTTGTTTGCTAGCTAGTTGCTAACACACTGTAGCTTTTTAGTCTGATATTATAATGCTGTTTGTTTGACAAGTCTCTCAGATTGATGATTTTCACCTCCTATGTGCCTCTTGTTCTGCTTACACATAGTTTATAATATCAGCACCAGGTTACTGTTAAAAGAGGAAGAGTATTTTGTCATGTGATTATTGACATCATCTCAGTGTGAGCTGTCAGTCTGAGATGGTGTTTCTGACCTCTAGACAGTTAAAGTCTATACTGTAACACTGTGTAACTTTAGATTATACTGATCAATAGAGTTAGCTTAGGGCCTTATCATTTTACAATGCTAATTGAATCATGTTTATAAATGCTTATTTCTGCCTCCAACCAGACAGAAAAAAGAGACCAAGTCACTAATACCATGATAAATAGTCTTGTATAAATGCATATACAGCTGTGTTTTCTAAGCAGTCAAATACTATGAAATGTGACTGAGGGGGGTTCATTAAACCTATTGATTTAAATGATAAATCCTGATGTGTGTGGCTTACAATAAAACACCAAACAAATGTCTTGACATCTGAAATAACAGGCTGTGTGGTGCAGGCAGTGTTTTCCTTACCCATGCATGTCAAAGAGTGTAGATAACCTTCATGAATATTTGAGTCCTGTATGTACACGTGATGTCATGTTTAAGATTAAAATACAGCACTAAAATGTGTGTTTGTGCTTGCAGGGCTCAGACCATCATGAAGGCTCGGCTCAAAGGAGCACAGACCGGCCGCAACCTGTTGAAGAAGAAATCTGACGCCCTCTCCATGCGCTTCCGTCAGATCCTTCGCAAAATTATCGAGGTCAGTTAAACAAAATTAAATAACCAACCCTGTTCTCCATGCATTCATTTCTCACTTGGTTTTCTAAAGGTGGACTTCTCGTCTCTTTTCCTCAGACTAAGACTAAGATGGGGGAGGTGATGAGAGAGGCGGCCTTCTCTTTGGCTGAGGCCAAATTTGCAGCTGGAGACTTCACGTAGGAAACAACAGAGATCATGTGATGGTGTTACATTATGTTCAGTACAGGTATCTCACATCTGTAATTCTGCCTACAGCGCAACTGTAATCCAGAATGTCAACAAAGCTCAAGTGAAGGTCAGAGCCAAGAGAGACAACGTGGCAGGTTAGCCTAAAGATATCATCTTTTGACTATTTAAAAACAATGTTGATGATAAGTTATTTGATGCTTTATCATAAATATGTTTGTATTTCTTTTAGGTGTCACTCTCCCAGTTTTTGAGTACTACCAAGAAGGCGGGGACAGTAAGTAATGCTTGGAAACATCTAGTTTTGGTGAGAAGTGAATGAAGGAGTTCTCACCCTCGCTGTGTTTCAGGTTATGAGCTGACGGGTCTGGCCAGAGGAGGAGAGCAGGTCTCCAGGTTGAAGAGGAACTACGCCAGAGCTGTGGAGCTGCTGGTGGAGCTGGCCTCCCTACAGGTAGGGGGCGGCGTTACATACACATACACATTATATACTGAGCTTCATTCAGCTTGGTTTCATACTTCTCAAGTGAAATGGAGAGTTAGAATTAGCTCTACGTCAACTAACATTTAAATGGTTCTTTCATGTTAATGCATCAATAATGTATATACTTATAATAATGCATTATGATAACCCTTTTCTTATATTAGTTTTAGGTGAATGCTAGTATATTTTCAGTTAAAAAGAGTGTGTGTGATTAGGATAACTTGATACACATTTCACTTTTTTGTCTAGACATCTTTTGTCACTCTGGATCACGCCATAAAGATTACCAACCGCCGTGTGAACGCTATCGAGCACGGTAAACTCACACTTATCATACAATTATGGCCTCTTTCTTAAATAACCCCAGACTTGTTTTAAAGCGACTCTCTATCCCTCTTTGCAGTGATTATTCCCCGCATCGAGCGTACCCTCACCTACATCATCACAGAGCTGGATGAGAGAGAACGAGAGGAGTTCTACAGGTGAACACTTATTCTACCATTCTAGCTTTTCATTTAAGCGACTACATTTGTTTTAACACTGACAATATTTCCTCCTCTGCCAGGCTGAAGAAGATCCAAGAGAAGAAGAAGCAGCTCAAGGAAAGGACACAGTTGGAGATTGCTGCTCGCTTGGCTAAACTGGGTCCCATCGCAGAGCCCACCAACATGATGATGGAGCAGACGGATGAGGACATGCTGTTCGAGTGAAGCGACCTCACGGCAGACGAGACACCGACCTCACCCAGCATCCTATTTATTCTGTGCCTCTCAGGCCACTTTATGTCTCCTCATGGAAGTGATGAAAGTTGTTTTTTCGTGTACTTGTCTGTGATGAGTTGTTCTATTGTTTCAGTGCTGGAAAGGTACTGTGTGTTTCCAGATTTTCGTCACTTTACAGAACCGAAGTGTCGTCGCACTTGGCTGTTCACCCTGAAGGGAGTTCACTATTAAAAATATTACCTAAAGAAAAAGACTATATATATATATATATATGTGTTATCACATAATTTGCGAGTGAAATCAAAGACGGATTCTGTGTGACTGATCAACTTGTACATATTTCAGGTTCTTACAACATTAAGAGCTATTGCATGCTGTAAAGCTTAAGGTGGTTGTAGATTTCAGTGTGTGAGTTTGTGTTGTGGAGGTTGTTGTAACCTCATTTGAGGATGTTTACCATTGCACCAGAAAACCCTGAAGTGATCCCCACTGTAAAACTTGTGCAAGTCAACAAAGGCACCTCATCAAAATAAAGATGTTATCAGTATCCAATCATTTCCTGGATTTCTTTCAGTCTCAAAAGGTGTCTGAATTTCCTTTCAACGTCAGGAAACATTGTCCGAGGGGTCTCTCAGCTAGATGAGGAATGGCAGCCATCTTGCACCAGAATGCTACATTTACCACATTAGTAATAGTATGACAGAATGGCTGAATACACCACACTGGTGATGCCACACCAACTTATTTCAAATGTTATCTTCAATAAGATAAGGGAACTCAATTATTTCAGAATATACATTGCTTGTTTACATATGTATCAGATTTTATTAACACTTTTCCAGAATTGTGCTTATGAAGTAGTACCTTGCAAAAAGTAGTTTTAACCACTAACTGATAAGATGTTTTGTTCATACACTACTGATAGAAAACATCACTTTGAATCATGATATAATGATACTAATGTTAACCAGCTAGAGAGACAATACCTTAGATTTGAGGTCTGTTGAGACGGGAGACAACACAATAATACTGACACTGGTGTGGAGGAAGTACCTCAAAACACAGCAGTTTTTCCTTCTCGGTTTCAGAATGGAAGACAACTTTAAGCACAGCTGCTTCTCTTCTGTTTGGTACCTAAACAGCTTTTGGTTAACCGCTTTATCTGGAAGCCATTTTCATAATTGTGACAGTAACACTCTCACAGTTGAGCGAACCATTTGGTATAACACACAATCAAAATGTAACAATAAAATATTTTCTCTTTTTGTCTAGAAAATATATATTTACAATTATAAATTACTATTAAGAATAGGATGGAAACATTTCTATGTGTTTCATAATTGACTTTGCATAAACTGAGATCAATAATAAACAAATAAAAATCACCCACAGAGACACACACACACACAAACATAAAGAAATGTAAGAAACTTGAGTCCATCCCTGCAACACCTGAAAATCCAGCGACAACCAGCACTGTCCATCCTCTCCAGGAACATTCATTATTGCTCTTCTGTTGAACCTCCTGCTGCCCTGAGGCTCCTTGCAGTGACCTCTGTGACCCCCTGTGACCTCTAGCACAGCCAGGAGGTGGGCACCCACTGCGGCTCAGTGTCCAGCTTCTCTATCAGCCTGCGCAGCTCGTAGAAAGCCTGATCCGGATCCATGTTCACGATGGTCGCATCGAAGAAGTGGCCGAAGTCGTGCTCCATCTCGCGGGCCTTTTCAATGATCTCCTTCAGATCGTCAGGCTGGGCACAGAAAACGAGAAATGATATTACGACAGTGAGAGGACGGTGACAAACAATCTGTATTTGACATAAATCTTACATTTTTGGATGGTCATTATTTTGATTTTTAATTATATGATTTTTTTATATCATCGTAACAGCTAAGTATTAGTTGGTTAATTAATGATGTGATGCAATATCCTGTATTTGTGGTGTATTGTGTATTCAGAGCAAGCTTTTTTTTTAGAATTGCCCCCCTGAAAATCTATTTTATATATATTATAGCAAAATGCAGGATTAACATTTTTATTGTATAATGTTTTAATCCGGCACTTTGCTGAAATAGGCTCAAACTATGGCATTTACAGCGTGCATTTTAACTTTTATCAGTACAATACAATCATGTCACAACAGACAGTGGGGCACCTTTGGTGTTTTCCCCTCTGTGGCCAGCAGGGTGCGTAGTCGTTCCTGAGAAGGAGGGGCGATGAAGAGGACATATGGCTTGAGGTTGGACGTCCTCAATATCTGCAGTGACTGACAAGAGGGAAAACAGGGACGTAAGAATATGTCAAATGGACGGAAATACCAAACTTGAAACATAAAACTTTAACTAAACGTATGGCGTATTCGTTCCTAACTTCAAAATGTTCTATAGCAGTCAGCAGTAATGAGTTTTATCAACCAAAACAAACCCAATTATATTTATGTGCATGATAATGATGTCCCGGACTAGCCATGATGCTAGAGATCAAGATATGTGCTTTGTAATGAACATATAAGACATAAACATCTCTGGGAAATATGAAGTACTCAGTGTCTCACCCTGGTGTGGAGGCAGAGCAGACAGATGCGCCCAGAGTTGACGACGTGTCGCACTGAGTCGGTGCTGGTGCCGTACATATTCTTCCCAAAATCTCCCGACTCAATGAACTTCCCCGCCGCCAAGTCGGTCTCAAAGGCAGGCCGACTCACAAAATGGTACTCCCGCCCGTTCCGCTCATGTATCCTTATGTTTCTGGTTGTGTCTGAGCCAGGAGAAAGGACAGATTCAAAATTATTAAAAACTTTCAAGACTTGTTAATGACACAAAATGTTTTATAGTACAACTTCAAAAGTGGTCACTTAAATGTTTTGAGGCGGTAAGTAAATTCCCAAATTCCCCATTTTCTTAATCTGGAAAATAAAAAATGTGATGAGCATTTGATATTGTGAGTCCCCCCAGCGTGGACTTACACGGGACAGCAACAGCGAACTTCTCCGGTTCGATGGACAGAAGCCTCCGCCGCAGCTCATCATGGCCGCTGTTGGTCGGCCCGATCAGAGCGATGGGGCGTTTACGGTTAGCGGGCTGGTGGTAGAGCGACATCTCCTCATAGGTCGGGATATCCTCATAGTCTGAAGAGACAGTCGGGAGGGACCTTCATTTACAAACCAAATCCTTTCCAGCTCATGGGCTACTGTTCTGTAACTAAATGTGACATTTGACTTATCATGTCATGTCTATTATACCATTGTCCTGCTTCATACTGGAATCTATCAGTCCCCTTCTGTTGGCCACTGTGTGTGTCTGAGTATATGTGTGTTTCTCTGCATTAATCAAGAACATCACCCATCCCTTCAAGCCATTTAGGCACCTGTTTGTGCTCTGATCCCGCCTGTGGAGACAGGACTAATCTGACCCGTGACACACCTCGTCGACACAAGCTGCTGCCAGAGCGGCAAGACGTGTCAGCTCTGGCTAACGTTCGGGGTTAATGTGTGGGCTGCTGGAAGCTAGCCAGCATGCAGGCAGACAGGAGGTAAATGAGAAGCGACAATTGGAGTTCTGTGGGTTAGGGAGGAGCTTTGTAAATGTAGCAGTGGAGGCAAAGGGGGGCAAATTATTCTCAAATGCTTCAGAAGAGATTCAGAGAAAAAGTCTTACCAGCATTTCTGTTCAGCGTCGACACAGGCTTCTTCCTCTGCCTCCTGCCTTTCTTTGCATACCAAATTTTCCCTGGAGACATGAGAATTTACAAATGTTTGCTTTAAAAAGTGATTAACATGTCACTTAGTTACATTCATGTAGCCACCTAAAATCCTATTTCTTGTGACTCAGGGTGGATGCAAACGGTTTTCAAAATATATTTATGTATTTTCTCACCACTCGGTGTGTGTTTCAGTATGTTATCCTCACCCTGCTGCTCACGACTCCTGTCAGTTATAGTTCTCTTCAAGGTCTCTCTCTGCTGCTGGAAGCTCTTCCCTGAAAAAGGTACACACGAAGATAAGCACATCAGCACTGTGAATATAGAACCAGACGTATTTTCCATTTCACAAACATGTATCTATGTAGAAACGCTCTTTATGTACAACATGCACAGTTTCATGTATAGGACCACTACACTCAACAGCAGACATTTGCTAACATTACAAACAAGTCCAAAGCTTTTCAAGAGCTCTCACTGTGTTTCATAATCTTCCTAGACATTCCAGGAATGCTGAGGAAAAAGCACGAGGGAGCTGCTTTCCATTTCCAGTGCTTAACCTCGTTTTGGTCCAGACACAACAGACGAGGGTCACAGAGTAATCGCTAATAATTCTTAGGCGTTTTGTTTTAATCTGCTTGATGTGCCAGGTGGGTGGTGTTTCCTGCCAGGATAGTGGTGCCAACTTATCAGTCACGGACAACATGCGAATACTTTACTGTGAGTGCATCCTGAAGAAGTACTGGGGAGGAATGAGAATTCCTTTGTAGTCTAAACAACATTGATATTCTGGTATCAGTGTTAATTTAATCAGCAATGTTGTATTTGTTCTTAACCCTGTTTCAAATGTACTTGTTAGTTATTGTTTATATGAATCATCCGGTTTTTTATAGTAATGTTTTAGCTGTCCAAAAAATAAGAGCCTTTTAGTCTTATCTACAATTAAACAAAAACATGAATTAAACAATACCTTTTAGTTAAGTCCTAGTTTGAGTGAAACGCTACCTTTGAAATACGAATATATAGCAAAATATATCACAAAAACTGCTATTTTAGAGCTCCCCTCAGTGACAGACTTTAGATTTTCCTTTGGAGGTTTATAAGAAATAATCCATATCAACTTAAAGAAGTATAAATGTTGTCAAATATATAACTGTATGCATTGTAAATGTACATACCATATACGTTTTAATTTCAATACAGCGTGTTCAGCGATTTTATATTGGTCAAAAACGTGTCCTTGCAGTTGTTATCCCCCCTTGTGTAGTAATGAAGCTACAGATTGATATTCAGCTCTGGAGACGCTGACCTGGAATCAGTCCAGCGAGCGGCTGGTTGTCCTCGTCTCCGTCCCTGTAGGCCTGCCACCAGTTGGGGTCGTCCTGGCTGATGACGTGGAGGATGTCCCCCTTCTGGAAGGACAGGCCGAGCTCCCGACACGGCACGAAGGGGTCGTCGGAGGGGTCGTAGTCAAAGTAGGCTCGTACGTGCATCTGAGGACAGGGTCAAGGTTAGTGCTGTATGCAAGCAGACAGGCTTCTCAAGTACACACACACACACACACACACCGGCAGCATTAAGAGACTTACCACAGTCTGTCTGTGAGCGGCAGGTTTAATCTGAGAGCTCGGGATGAGGAGGAAGGTCAGAGTACCTTGCATTTGTTGCTGATGGAAAAGATGAGAAGTGATGAATTAAACATGACAGCGATTTCCATAAAACTGTATTTTAACTTTGGTTTTTACTTCAAACTTCGGGTACAGTTTATAGCAGTACATTCTATTTTGAGAGTGCATCTATTCAAGAACAAAAGCTCAGGTATATATATATATATATTTCAAATCACATTTAA